AAATCAAATTAGGGCTTTACTAGGCTAGATTTACTGTTCTAAGCAAAGAACTACCTCTCAACCCCCCAAAATTATGGTTTCACAGGGTCCTGCGGGATGGGGAGAAAGAGATAAACTTCAACCACCCCTTCCAGAGGTTCTAGAATTCAATCCAACCAAAACCACCCCTAATAGAAATCAAAAGGCTTACCTTTGATCCCCAAGCACCAGGTTAAAATTGTTTCTATGACCTATAACAAGGTTTCTCTAGTTACCTAGGGTTTTCAGGAAAAATCTCCAAGAACCTACCCTAGGCTTCAACTAAGGATGAAAAACCTCCACAAAACTCTCCAAAAACATTCCTAACTAGGCTGCATAAGTAGCTGATTGATCAACCGATCAGTTCTCCATACACACTATGTATGGGCAAAGAAAGGAAAAAAAAGTCGAAAGTGAGAACCAACTCTGATACTGAGTTGAAAATTACACCTACAGTAATTCAGATAATGCAAGAAAAGAAGAAAAGAGAGAGAAAAAGAAGAAGAAAAGAAGTTTCAGTAATAGGTTGTGGAAGAAGAAAAGAAGGGAAGAGAGAAAAGAAGAATTTGAACCTCTCTCTAGCCCCCTTTCATCACTTTTATTAATAATTCTAAGTCTGAGTACAATTACTTGGATGCCCTTAATGGGGCAGCCAGCATTAAAGAAATAATTAAAGAAAATAAAAGAAGGCCCATAACTAAGAAACATAACTTTTAAACACTACTTAAAGGAAATAAAGAACACTAGGAACCATTCGGCCCATTCTCACTAAAAAAACATTATATTATAAATATATATTTATATATGATGCATATATATTCATTTATAATATATAAATATATGTATATTGGCCGGTTCGGTTAACCGCCAGTTTTTTATATTGGTTAACCGAAACTGAACCAGTACCTTTGGTTTTTGAAAATACCGAACCGAAACTGAACCCATTGGTTCAGTTAACTAGAAATTTTGGTTTAGTCTCATCGGTTCAGTTCGGTTTTTCGGTTTTTCATGATCACCCCCAGGTGATGGAATATTACATAAAAGCCTTTAATTAGGTGCCTCCTTACCAAGTTCGCCACAATGACATAAAAGCCTTGCTAAAAAAAAACTTCCAACAATCCCCTCAATATGGCATAGATATCATACTTCATACATGTCAACTTTCCAATGTTAATTTTCAACTTGGGTCTTGGAAATCCTTTTGTCAAGTAGTCAACCAACTGATCCTTCAATTTCACAAATGGGAGACAAACATCGCCATTTGCTACTTGTTCATTGATAAATGTCTGTCAATACCAATGTGTCCAGTACAATCAGATTGAGCAATATTAGTAGTTGCCTGATTGTCACAATAAAGCTTCATAAGTTTATCATCCTGGATACTATTTCAGTAAAAGGATTTTTTTAGTCAGCCATAATAATTCAGACATTTTGTGGGTCATTGCCCTATATACGGATTCAGCACTTGACTAGGCCATCACAGTTTGCTTTTACTCCTCAAAGAGACAATGTTACCACCAACAAATACACAATATCTTGAGGTAGGACATTAGTCAACAACAGAACCAGCCTAGTCAATATCACTATATGCTTCTAACGAGAGGTATCCATGGAAAGTTTAGAGTAATCCCTTCCCTAGAGTACCCTTTAAGTACGACAAGAACCTCTACACAGAATGCAAATGAGATGCTCTAGGTTGATGCATCTATTGGCTCACAACACTGACTACATAAGAGATGTCCAGCCTAGCTAAGAAGAGATAATAACAACCTCCTCACAAGTCTTTAGTACATACCTCAATCGGATAATATATCACTATCATCAGTCCCCAATCTATGGTTTGGGTTTATCAGAGTCTCACCTGGCTTAGCTCCCAACTTGCCTATCTCCTATAGAAGATTTAATACATATTTTCTCTAAGAGATAAAGATTTCTCCTGTGGATATTACCACCTTAATGCCTAATAAATATTTAAGATTTCCAAAGTCATTAATCTCAAATTCAGAAGAAAGAAACCCCTTGACAATTTCTACAGGATTTCCAACTGTGATGACAATGTCATTCACATAGGCGATCAACAAGGTCATTGATGCTAAAACAATCAAACCATGCTCTCAATGATTGCTTCAACTCATCAATCCATACACTTTTCCTACACTGTTAGGAATGCTGAGACCTAGTGGTAAATCCATGAACAACTCCACCTAAAGATCCTTGTTTAGGAATACATTCTTCACATCCATTTGATATAGTGGCCAAGAGAAATGAGAAACTAAATGAAAGAATAACTCTGATTGAACTCATCTTCGCAACAGGAGCAAATGTCTCTTGATAGTCAATACCACAAGTCTAAGTGTATCCTTTAGCAACTAGACAAGCCTTGTATCATTCAATTAACCATGTGCCCCATACTTCATGGTGTACATCCACTTATAGCCAACAGAATTCTTGCTTGAGGAAGGCCAACAATTTCTCATGTCTGGTTCTTAATAAGTGTATCCATTTCTTGCACCATAGTCTCCTTCTTTTTAGGTTCTTTTAATGGTAAGGGTTAGGGTTACCTTGGTCTAAGGTATCTAATTGAAATGGTTGCTCTATCTCTAGAGTCACCTTGTGCCTGGCATAAACCTGCAACTCTGGCTTGTTTACAGACTTAATAGGACTACAAGAAGAAAAAAGAGAATGATCTAAATGAATAGGATTAGGAAGACAAACAAGAGTCCTCTCTTCATTAGAATTAACCCCCTAAAGAGAGGCAAGGCAGGAGAGAAAAGGAACATCTTCAATAAAAGTCACATCTCGAACAACGGCAATCACAATTCAGCCCAAAACAATTGATCTCTATGCACTCCCTATTTATCCATATAATTTTCCAATCCATTTGCTGATCTCCTAACCCAGTTGAAGGTAGCACCACATCCTTAGCTAAAGACCTCTGATAGCAACCAATTGATGAGATACACCAATGTATCAATTGCATCACCTCAAAAGTCCTTTTCTTTTTTTTTTTTTTTTGATAGGCAATTGATTTCATTGATTAAAGACAAATAAGACTACAAATTTACCCAATATGTATTCAGGAACCCATATTTTTAATAACAGCAATTAAAATTCAGCCCAGCATATAATCTGCTGATCCATTTTCTGATCTCCTAACCCAGTTGAAAGTGGCTCCCACATCCTTACCTAAAGACTGAATTTCCCTCATTGTCAACCAAGAAATGACAACCTTAGCATCTCCCTCCGCCTCCAACAGTCTAATTACTAGTTTCTTAGCTATCCTCAATCCTTGCAACAATGCCAAGATTTCCACTTTAACAGAACCTTTAATTCCAATGGATCCTGAAAACAGAGCTTTAATAGTAAATCTTTGATTACACCTCCAATACCTACCGGTCCTGGATTGCCTAGAAAGCTGCCATTGAAGTTAAGCTTCATTCTTGGACTGGTCAGTGGATTCCATTCCATCACAGCCTTATCCTTTACCTCTGAAGAAATTTTCTTGTAAAAAGTTATTTGAATTTCTTTCAAGATACTTGCATTGTTGAATGCAAGATCTTTATTCTTGTATCATATTGATTCTCCACCATAGAACAAAAATTTGTAATTAATTGTGGCACTTCATCCCTGTCCATCAAATATAGCCAGGTGCATCAAGAAAAGTCATCAATGAACAATAAAAAACAAGGGTAACTACCCATGTAAGCAAAGGAGTAGGATACCCACACATCAGTATAAATCAACTGGAAAGGAATGGAACTTCTTTTATTACTAGAAAGAAAAGTCAATCTACAATGTTTAGATAAATTACAGACTTGATAACAATCAAAACTATCTTCACAAGACATAGACTAACCAAAGCTTGTTGTGCAAGCAAATCCAGAGGGTATACCCATTGACTTCACTCCACAACTAATCATCTTCCTTCCTCCAATGGACAACTTGGCTGATTGCGACCACTCAAGAAAATTGTTTCCATCAAGTTAGATGGTGGTTATTTGACTATTAGAATAGTTACCTATTCCCATAGAACCACAAGAACTAATTTGCAAAATCTCCCAAGGTAGCCATATTCAAAAAACAAGCATTAAACAAATTTGGAAAGCCAAAAACACACAAAAGAAGCCCCTCTACAAATGAAAAACAGCATTCAGAAAAGCTCTGATAACAATACTTGATCAAACAAGAGCCTCAGTATCAATTATAAGGTTTCACATTGCCCTAGGGCCTAGACAAAGAAAACAAGAACTGGCAGTAAATATAAGGGAGAGAAAACATCACAACTCCCTTAAAACTCATCCAAATGCTGTGAGATCAATTTTGATCTCTCACAAGTTTTCATATAAACCAAACAACATCAACAAAACTTYTGGAAAAWAAAAAAACCCTTACCATCTCACCGAAACAGATTTCCCAAAATGAGATTTTTAAYTCTTTTCGTTTTAGATCCATAAAATATGGAAAAATATCAAATCAAAATCAGATCCACCTCAAATATGCACCAAAATTCTTCTAAAATTGAGATCGACCTAGTGGTACAGTCATCTCCCTCTCAAGCATCAGCTGGCCATACAACCTACTGATGTCATCCTCCAGCGATGTTGACATCAGCAGTTGACAATTTAAAATGAGCTATGATACCAACTTGTGATATTTGAGTTTGAACCTAATGAAGCAACAGTGAAATATTGAAAAGATGAAGAAGAGATAGGAAAACAAAATAAAAGACGATGAACAAATAGGGTGTGTCTAACTTGCTTCACATGACCCCTAGTTTTGGTATTTATATAATGATGAAATATTACACAAATGCCCTTAATTAGGCATCTCTTTACCAACTTAGCCACAATGACATCAATAACCTTGCTAACATAAAACAACTCTCAACAAAATGGAAGAGTCGCACTAAGACTAGTCAAGAAAAAGAAGATGGACATAAATGAATCTAAAAGAGAGAAACAAATATGAAATAGGAAGTGAAAGGTCACAATAATTCACCAGTTGCATAACAATTAAAGCTTTCCTTTCTTCTACAGTTATCCTCACTATTAAGTAGAAAGAACAATGGCCTCAATGGAAGTACAGCAAAATTGAACTTGTCTCCTTTCTTCTATAAACTTTTGTATTAAATACTTAAATGGTTATTTCACCCTCTGACTATGAACCCAGATGTACATCTTCTCGAATACAAAAGTAATGACAATCCCAATCTACTCAACACTGGGTTCCTTCATCCTCTCAATGGGGTGCAGTACTTCAGCCATGGTAACATATTAATGAAAATCCAAGGTGCACATTCAATCAGGACTCGGGAGGTAGGTTCTACCCATTGAATATTTCAGGACAGCTTTGAGAGCCATGAACAAAAATAATAAGAGACTTACAAAGAGCAGTCCATCTTAACAAATTGAGATCATATCAAAAAGCCATTTGCAATGAAATGAAAACTAAGGAACAACAAGCATGTTACAGTATTAACCAAAACATAAATTCAAAAACTAAGCAGCAGTAATCAGTTCTTTACCCAACTAACTACAGGGAAATTTAAAAAAAAAATGATCTCAATTATAATTACGGAACAAAAGTTTTATCTTATAAATAATCAATTAACAATTTATGTAATAGAAAAAACTGATAAAAGGAAACTTAAAAGAAAAAAGAAAGAATTACTCTAGGGAATTAAGGTTTGCATCAACAGTCAATTCCAGGAAGCTCGAAAACTATTATATATGAGGCCAATAGAAATGTGAAAGGAAATAATATGCATCTGGAACTGGGGACACAAAAAGACAAGTGTCATTAGCAACTCTTAATTACTTATAGCACATCTGGCTAATCACTCTTAGGAATCTACCCTGCTTGGACTCAAAAGATTATTTCCTGTAGACATTCAGGTACAAAAACTGATAAAAAAGAGATGGATGAAGCAACTCAGGTCGGAAAGTTCAAACCATGAAGATACAGAGATCAGAAAGTCACCAAGTACAGAGACCAAGCATGAAAAGGAAGATATCAAGCATGAAGAAACCAACACTTAACAAATGAGGGGTACAGATTGTCATTTTAAATTCTTCTTGGTAACCAAGATGAGGCTGGGTTAGGAGGTGTCTTTAGGGACTCAGGAGGAAAGGTGTTAGCTATGTATTCAGGGCCTCAGAAAATAGGGATGCACTGACAGCAGAACTATTTGGACTTCTACATGGACTCAAATTTGCCAAGCGTTTTGGATTCCTTAATTTGGAAGTGGAAGGGGACTCTCAGGTGGTCATCTCCTAGACAAGATGTAGCACCCAAATCCCTTGGATCTATAGGCATACATTTAGGGAGATTGAGAGCATTGCAAGGGAGTTGAATGTTATTTTCAAATGGGTGAGAAAAACAGCAAATGGGATGGTGGATACTCTAGCTAAACAAGGGGCTATGACATCAAATGTTTTGGGCAAAACTGTAAAACTGTATTTTGGGAGAAAAACCTCCTCACCCTGTTGTAACTTTCTTATTTGGCTCTAATAAAATATTATCTTTTTTTATCAATAACTAATAAAATATTATCTTATTGATCAAAAAAATGTCTATAAGCCGAAAGAAGAAGGGAGGAGGGATTTCTGGGAGGAGCTAGAGGAAATTAGACAGACATGGGGGATCCTTGGTTCGTTTTTTTTTTCTTTTTTGAGAGGGGATTTTAATGTTGTAAGAAGGTTGAATGAGATGAAAGGGGGGAGGGAGAGAAGCGTTGGTGTGGGGAAGAGGAGGTTTGGGAATTTCATCACTTCACTTGGGCTTGTTGATCCACCTTTAAATGGTGGAAGGTTCACCTGGACAAATGGACAGCATCCGGCAATACTAAGAAGGTTGGATAGATTCTTGTTTTTAGCAGACTGGGTGGAAGAAGTTTGGTGATGTAGTTCAGGAGGCTCTACCTTTTCTTCCTTTCAGACCATAAACACATATTTCTGCAGAGGTTTGTAGAGGTGGCAGGTGCTAGACCTTTTCAATTCGAGAACATGTGGTTAGATCATCCAAACTTTTGCGAGTTGGTGCTAGACCTTTTCAATTAAGTGGGGTTCATATTAATTAAAAAATTATAGATGCTTAAGGAGAAAATCAAGGGATGGAATAAGGAGGTGTTTAGAAACTTGGATAGCAGGAAGAAGGATGTGCTAGAAAAATTGGCACAGCTGGACAGGTTGAACTTTGGAGGACGAAGATAATTTGTCCTTGGCTGCCAAGGTGGAAAGAGAGTCTAGGGAGTGATTTGGAAAGAATAATTCAGAGGGAAGAGGTGATCTGGAGGCAAAAATCTAGAGCCATTTGGACCTCTAGATTTGATCCCTTTCCTTTTGTACATCTTTTCAATTTTGTTAGTCGGGCCAGCCCCCACAAGGCCATCTTTCAGAAGTGAAAAAACTTTTGTAACATGCACTAAATGGGTTTTGTTTGAGGCTCTTGATTTTTTTTCAATTCTCCCAATGAAGCATCAGACTCAGATTTTTTGAATCCCTTCCTCCACGATCGAGACCACTATCAGCCCATTCTATGAGATGAGTGGGGATAAATTGATTGATCTGGAGTATTGATCCAAAAAAAAAAATGACCTGGAGTCCTAAATTCAGTATGCTCTTTTGGATAGGTAGGGGGAGGAGTGTGTTATTGGAACTTGGAAGTGCTGGAAAATTCAAAGGTGTCAAGTTCTTCAAAGGGCGAGTTGTGATGGAAGGAATGAAAGAATGGGAGGTTTACTGTGAAATCCTTTTATTCAGCTTTGTTAAGGGTCCAGGTGGATGCAAACAGTTGTGAAGGTGTGTGGGGTAATCTGGTCCCTCCAAGGGTAGAAGAAGCCTTTGCGTGGCTGGTGGCTATGGATAGTGTTTTAACTGCAGATCACCTAAAAATCCGAGGGCTCAGCCTGGAAAATGTATGTTTTATGTGCAAAGAGGACAATGAAACAATATTTCATTTGTTCTTCTCTTGTAGAATTTATGGCTTTTGCTGGAAGTTTTACTCAGCACTCTTCAATATGCAAGTCTTTCAGCCAAGGTCCTTGGCTGAAATCTGTTTCTAAGTGGCCACCACTTAGAGGAAGCAAGAAAGCTAAGGTGGTGTAGCTGTATTCCATTTGCTGTATGTTGGTCCATCTGGAGAGAAAGAAACAGAAGAGTGTTTGAAGACAAGCTATGGAAGATTGAGAAGATTGTGGCAGCCATTGGAAAGTGTGTTGCAGATTGGGTGCTTATACTACCTGAATCTGCACAAGTTTGTCATTCAAATTTAGGGGCTAATTTTTGGGATGTACTTGAATTACAAAACTTGATTTTTCTTCCCCAGTGCTTCCTCAACACCCAAGTGATCGTAATCATCTTTTTGTTTTTAATAAAACTTTTTTGTTTACTATCAAAAAATGCAACAACCCACAAAAGAAAACAGAATGATACTTTGAGTATGATACTGATTAGGTTGTTTAAATTGCTTTATTTTTATTATTAAAATACTTTTTGGCAACAAGTAACATATGAGTATGATACTTTCAGTTTTTTATCTAATCCTACCCCCAATTTTGGGGGTGGCATGTCATGTCTCTCCTTGTTTGAGGTTATCTTGTCCTCAAAAGAAAAAAGGATGTTACATGAGAAGTGTTCTGGTTCACTTTTAATGTTCACGTCAGAGGGTGCATTGCTAGTATTTGCTACAACACCACCCCCAAATTGAGAAATATCAAAAAGGTGACTCAAGAATCTACCCCCCTGCCCAAAATTCTAGGCATGCCATTTCACCACCATTTTTGCATGAAGCAGAATTACCAAAGATATTTCATTCCCAATTCTGCATAAATGCTAATGAGGCAAGCTGAGGCAACAAAATGTTCTTGAAACACAGACATATCAAACACCCTCTAGTAAAACCATACACTGGAATGAAATAAACACCAAGAGATAGTAGGCACTAAAATCATGATTTTGTTACATGTCAAAAGAATGAATCTCCTGCAGTGGCTTCAGGGTCAAAACCAACTCAAATAAATAACAACATTATAAAATTTGAGAAAAAAAAAAAAAAACTCTTATGCCAATTAAATGGGTTCCAATGACTTAACTCATTTGAATGCTATAGAACTTTCATCACTGAGACAAGGCATATACAACAATAGATGATTGGAGATCCCGGTCCACCTTGAAGTGTGCATGGAAAAACCTCTTCATCTGCCAATTACCAAGGTTGACTAAGAAAAAAGAAAATTGCTAAAAATGAGAACAATGAAACCAACAAGTTTAATTCCTTCTAGGTTGGTGTTATGAAAATCAAATTAGCATATACCTCTCTAAAAGAATGTGAGGTCAGAAATTCCTCCAGTAATCTCTCCTGGGAGTCAAACAATACTATATGACTAGGCAAAGACCAATTCTTCGCCATATTTGATACAAACCCAACTGGGTCCATCATAAAAAGGTCCGACTCATCTGGAATACCCTTTTCATCACTGGAAAATAAATGCAAGAACAAAATTAAGTACAAGTTAAAATTATCTATAGAATAGCAGTATAGCACAAAAATAACTAAAAGKAATACAAAAAAAAAATACTAAATAAACTAAGACAAGGTACATAAGTTCTAACCTTGGAGTGCAATCTAAAAACCGCATAGGAAGGTTGCTATGCAAAGTAGAATAGTAAGGCATAGCATGACAAGGCGTTAAGAAAAGGATACTCTTCACATTCTCATCAAGGGCCTCTTTGGCTAAAAAGTTCATAACATCTTCACTTCCTCTCTGCTTGACATGATTATAGATAAGAATTGATGAATGAAAAATGGAACAAAGCAAGAAATGAGCTAAACATCTTTTTCAAGATTAAGGCTCTTTTCGCTAAGTCAATGACTTTTTTACCTTCATCTTCTTTCCAAAAATTTAAAAAAAAAAAAAAAAAAAAAAAAAAAAGAATAGAACCAAAGAGCACAATTATACTACCTTCAGCATGTTAAGAAACAAAATCAGCTATATCCAGGCCTATTTATGAAAAAATCTTACCTGATGAACCAGAGACATATACAAGGCCATTGGAAGATTGGTCACAAGGAGGAAAAGTACAGCCAATTGCATTCGTTTATGGCATCTAGTGTGGTGAAGTGATCTTTTACTTTTTCCATCTGAAGAAATAGGAATTCTCATTGCTGCTAAAGAATATCCAGAGAACATCAAAGCTATTGGGAGCACAGGCAAGACAAACCTGCAAATCCAGCCTATTTTAGCAGGCCACTATTTTCATGAAACAAAGATGAGTAATTTAAGAATAAGGGTACAAAGTATTCTCATAATAAAAGCACATTCAAGTTCATATGGGCTTACCTGAACTCTTTGTGACCAAGCAGACTGTAAAGTCCCAAGACCCATACAATCAGGCCAAAAAGCTTCCATTGCTTAGACTTAAAGATGCCAACTAAGGAGAATGGCAAGAAAGTAAAAAGCATGACAGGAAACCCCTGAGTAAAGTACCAGTGCCACTTATGTGTTCCATAATAGTCTCCACCAGAAGAGAGAAAATTGAACTTAAGAAAATTAAGTGGAACCAAGATCCATGACCCATACATCAACCGATCCAATAAACATGTGAAAGCAAGCACCACAATTCTGGCACAACACATCAAAAGATAAGGACATAAAAAATAGCCACCCTGATGCACTACCAAGCATCCAATTAAACAATAATACAATCATGCCATCACACAATCAGTAATACAAAGTTTAACATTTTAAGTTCATAACAAGCATAGTAACATGCATGTAGGCACCTATATGGGATTAGCCTCCCCTAACTAACCAACCCTCTGGAGGAAAAAAAAACGCCAGGAAAAAAAAAACACAAAGAAAGTGGCACACACAAAAAGGGCATCATGAGTGTAGACCTAGGGCAGGTGAACCCTGGACACAAAACAATCAACCAAATACACAGGGTTCAGTTGTATCAGTTGAACACTCTCTATGTATCAGTTAACTTCTTATAAAATGCCAAAATTCTATCTTGGATGTCCTTCATGTCTTAAAGAACCTCCCCTTCATCTTTAGTTCTTATAACTAATTCTCCAGTTTTTACCCAAGTAGCTCTCAACTTTTGTATCCAACGAATCTCCCCTCTATGAATGATTTGCTCCAACTTAATTCTAACTTSATGCCTATCAAGTTTGACCTCCCAAGATAGCCTCCCCTCCTCTATTCTGTCCAGCTACAACACTTTTTTCTAATACCTGCTTCTTCCACTCTCCAAAAAACTTTTATATTCCACTCCTTCAGCTTCTCCTTTAGTTTTTGCAACTTCTTCATCACAAGCATGCCCTCCCCTTCACATGCAAGTCATCCCAAGTTCTTTCCACCAAAGCAATGAAATCTGGATTTTTTTTATGAGTAACTGTAAGTTTTATTAGAGAATGGAAAGTGCATAAGTATATGTTTCAGCACAGCCATGTTTGTTACCCATCTTTACAATGTCCTCCTACATCCTTTTATGCACTGTACATTAATATATTACAACTGTCCGGTGAGCATCTGATCCCTAATTGCTCTTTGCTTAGCAAGTAAATCTTCTTAACAGCTTACTCATCCTTTTACCCAATGGTATGTCACTTCCAGTTCCCTTTATAGCACTTTTATATCGGTCATTATGTGCCTGTACTGTAACATAAGCCTTTGCTGTCTGTTCTCAGCCAACATACTACTACCTTTGAATTGCCTTCTGCAATTATATTTCAAACTCGCATAATCCTCCCTACCCTTAATCCTTGCAATATAGCCATTAACTTCACCCTAAAAGAACGCCAATACCTATTGATTCCAAGAATATAGCCATGATGTTTGCTCTAGCATCATTGTAAGCTCCTCCTATGCTTGATGTTCTGGGGTTTTCCAAACTGCTTCCATCAAAGTTTAATTTAAATCAAGATGAACTCAGTGGCCTTCATTTATCTTAAACTTTGGGTCTTGTTGTATCCAATTCCATCCTCTTCTAAAATCATCCACAGTAAAAGGAGTAAACAACTACATGGTCTTCACCAAACGCAATACCTTAACCATTATGCTTTTCCATAACCACCTCTTTTATATCCTGTCATTGTTTTATTTTTTTTTTTTTTTTGATAGGTTGTCCTGTCATTTTTTTCTTCCCATAACTCCCATAGAGTATTGAACTGGTGCATCTCTAAAATACCTTTCCTCTCTTTGTTGGTATTCTACAGAAAAAGAGATTAAATAGTCTTATAACATCAGTTGGACAATTCCATCTGCAATCAAAAGTAGCAAGAAACGCCTCCCAATGTTAGAGACAAAACCACAAGAGATTAGTCAATGGTGAATGGACTCTCCATTGCAAGATTCTCAGATGGTAAACTTCCCACAGAATGCCTTTACATTAAGAGACACTAGTCAACTCTAAATCTCTTTTATCAGAAGCACCTCCAAAGAAAGAAGAGGAGAGGATATAGCTTGAAAAAAAAAAATGACACACAAGAGAATGAACCTGAAAGGCTGCCTGTCCAAATACAAGAGTCTATAGAAGAAAAATCAAGGAAAACCTTCTCTACGGAACTAATTAGACACAAGATCTTGTGTTTCAAAGTCCTAAATCCCAAGTCCCAATTAGCACCATTAGGTGAAAGAAAAGCAAATTGATGATGGTTTTATTCTTGAAAGTGAAGATAGAGTAGAGGTTTGGATAAAAATACTTGAGGGGTTTATTCCCCACCCATAAATCCTCCCAATTTCTTTTTTTTTATCAATAACTGGAATTAAAAGAATTTAGTTACAGCGCTTCAAAGAGAGATAAACAGGCTTAACTCTCTCCAGGAAGATAACAAAAAAGAAAAAGTTACAGAACAGCCCAAAACATTTGATCCCTTCCCATCCCCTGCTTTGCCAAAGCATTAGCAAATGCATTTGCTGTTCTCTTGACCCACTGAAACTTGATTTCCAGTCCTCTAGTTAGCCACTCAATCTCCCTCCTCTCATTAGCATAATTCCAAAGTCCACTACCTTCTTGTAACCAACTTAAGGCCAGCTTTGAGTCCCCTTCAATGATTAACTTTTGTATATTCAGTTCCTTAGACTTCCTTATACCCTCTAGTACTGCATAGACCTCAGCTTTGAAAGAGTCTCCAAACCCAATGAAACTTGAATATAAAGCGAGCACCTTCCCATCCATCTCTGAAAACCCCTCCTACACCTAATGGACCTGGATTTCCTTCACTACTTCCATCAAAGTTTAGCTCTATAAGTCCACTTCCTGGTGGTGACCACACAAGACAAACTAAAGAGCAAGCAGGAGAAGAAATTGCCACCTCCAACCAGCTATTCAGCAACATATCCATAGAAATATCAACAAACAGGTCCAAGGATTTCAGCCAATGTACCACCCTCACTGTTACTACTTCAATAAGGCATTCTTTACTTCTTTCAACTTCAGAGAAAATTCTGGTGTTCCTTTCCTCCCAAAGAGTCCAGCAAACAGCAGCCCTCACACATCTCCACATTATCCTTCCCCTTTTGTTTGTCCAACCAAAGAATGAGAGGCTAAACAAACTTTGAATTTTTGGCGGTGGTGTCCACCTGCAACCAAAAGAGGAAAGAAACCATTCCCAAAGATCAGTAACAAAGGGGCAAGAAACTAATAAGTGGTAGGATCTTTCACCATTAGCCTTGCAAAGAATGCACCAATTCAGAGACAAGCACCAAAAAGGCCTTTTTCTTTGGAGTACATCACAAGTATTACATCTTCCGAGGAAGGCTTCCCAACAAAAGGCTCCAATCCTTGGAGGAATCGGCTCACCCCAAACATCCTTAACTGGAAAGTTTTGTGCAAATGGACTGGATGAAGGCAGTAGGGACTTGAAGAAAGAGGCACAAGAGAAGGTTCCAAAGGGAGTTAGGGATCCCAAAATTTTATTTTGTACCCTAAACATGCATCATAGTGATCATACCTGACAAAATTGATAAAGTTGGGAAGAAATTTGGAGATAGACTTCCAAGGGAGAATAAGGTAGCTCTATTTGATAGACCAGCATTCCAGCCATTTGTCAAAAGCTCATGAATACTTAGAACTACCTTGTGCCAAAGCTTATTAAGATCCTCGAGAAACCTCCACAACCACTTTCCTAGTAAAAACGTGTTCCTCTCTAGTAATTTACCTATGTTCAGTTCCCCCTTTATCCTTTCTTTTGCACACTATTACCATCTCACCAAATGATTTCTTTTGGTATTACCTAGTTCCCACAAAAAAGTTCATGAATTTCCTAACCTCTTTGCTTTCACCGGTAGTAATCTAAAAATAGAGAGGTAGAAAGGTAAGTTTACAAGGATTGACTTGATTATGGTTATCCTACCTCCTAGACAAATATGATTCCTCTTCTAGGTTGACATCTTTTTTTGAATATATCCAATATTGGGTTCTAAAAGTTCTTTGGACTTGGATTTCCCCCCAAGGTTATGCCTAGGTATTTCAAAGACCAATGAGAGGTCTCACACACTAGAATTCTTACATATCTTTGCAAGTCTCTCTGTCCCACATTAACTTCTATCATACATATTTATCTCAATTTATTTTCAGATTAGACACCTCCTCAAAAAGCTCTATTAGGTGTCCCATGTTTCTCACCCTTTCCTCCCATTACATCCTCACAAATAAGTGTAATGGCATCCACAAACTAAGTCCAGGATTTTAGAAAATGGAGAACCATATCTTTGTTTCCCATATCCATGTTCATGTATCTGTATCTAGGTATCATAGTATATGCATAAATATATTGATTTCATGGCATAAATGTGACTTGAGATAGAAGAAATTTCAATTATTCTAGTCAAATGATCCCTCTAAGTACTGTTTGTTATATTAGACTGGTAGTCGGTGAGTTGTTCTTCAATTGATGCATAAACAGGTTTTCCCACCACTACCAAAGTATCAAATTGCTATCACCCTAAGTATCCAATTAAAGCCCTTGATAACAAGTAAATAATTCTAAATGTATAGCAGCTCAAAGAAATAGCCAAAACAAGATGGTAGCATTATCTGGTATACAAAATAAACTTAATTAACTAACCATTTACTTAAAGTATAAAACCGTATATGACAACCATCAATTTTGATAAGAAAAAAAAAACAAATTGACAATGACTATATTTGTAGTCACTTGGGGATAAGATGCAATGTACCTACCCAACAGGCACTAGCTCGAGAAATATGAATCTCAATCTACCATGTGTTTCAAACAACTCCAAAAGGCCCACATAAAACCATGTGATAGCACTCGTTGGTCGAATAGCACATGCTAGTGCTGCTACAAACAAACCCCACCTTCTTGAAGCTACAGAAACATGGCCAGAACCTTTAACAAAGGGCCAGTGGTAGAGACCCACAAGGGTGAGAACTGTCTCCAGGCTGTTTGATAAAGTCCGAGTGAAACAGAAAAACATGAACCAATTTGTGAACTGAGAGAAGAGCTATCAGAGAATTAAGTGTTCCAACTTAATATAGTAATGTTTTAAGTAACTTAAGTGGTTAAAAACGCACAAAATAAAAGGATACAGTCCACTGTGCAACAGAGTAACCAAAGATGACATGAGAGAGTTTGTACAAGTAGACATCACCAACTGAGGCAAAGACAGACTGTAAGAGTCGTGGAGCCCTCATCTAAAAGCAGGAAGAAGGATAAAACATTAAACAGAGACTTATTCATTATTAAAACAGCAGAAGATTGAGACACCATTTATTTAGAGCACCAAAAGATTGAAAAGAAAAAATTCATTTACCAAATAACAAAATATTTCATCATATAATAAGCCCATACCTGGGTTTTCAAGAGAGTGACCATAGCAACATCATAACAGCACAACTGCTAAAGTATTTGCTTGGCCACACTTCGTACACAAGTCAACTGAAATTCTAAAGCCTACACCAACCATATTGCATCTGTTCTCTTACATTAAAAGCATATAGACTCTCCCTATGCCTTTCAAACCACAAGTAGGAGTTCAGGACTGTTATCAGTCTTGAACCCTAATGGATTTCAGGTTCGAAAATAAGAAGAAAGGTAAAGAGAAAAAGGAGGAAGAGGGAAGAGAAGTAGTAGAACACAAGAGTTGAAAAAGGAGGAGCAGAAGCTAGATGTCCTGCCGCCGCCACTTTAATCAATATTTATAGGTTATGCTCATTACATGGAAAGGACAGATCTGCCCTTAGTCTTTACATAACAAATAGAGCAAAAATAAGACTGAAATAAATAACAACTGAAACAACTAAATGACCAATAGCTAACCCTAGGCAGACTAGAACACCTTCTACCCTACGAACACAGTGGGACCGTAGCTGTGGGGCCCACATCAGTGTTCTCTACACTCCCCCTCAAGTTGGGAATAAATGTTTATCATTCCCAACTTGGATAGATCTACCTCTAGCTTCTTCCGTGGTACAGCTTTGGTGAGGATATCTGCTAGCTGCATGTTGGAGGTGATGTATGGGAGRCACACTTCTTGTGATGAGACCCTCTCTCGTACAAAGTGTCGATCAACTTCAATATGTTTAGTCCTGTCATGTTGCACYGGGTTGTGTGCTATATTAATAGCCGCTTGATTATCACAATACAGCATCAGGGACTTCTCATACTCAATACCCAACTCCYCAAGTAGTGATCTCAGCCAAAGAATTTCAGCCACTCCGTTAGCCATTGACCTGTACTCAACTTCAGCACTAGATCTGGAGACAACACTCTATTTCTTACTCCTCCAAGAGACCAGGTTACCTCCCACAAGAGCACAATATCCAGAGGTAGACCTCCTGTTATCAACACTCCCAGCCTAATCGACATCTGTATAGACTTCCACCTTCATGTGGCCATTGTTCTTGAACAGTATACCTCTACCCGGGCATCTCTTCAAGTATGCTAGTATTCTTTCTGCTGCTAG